AGTTTATTCCCAAAATTATGAGACAGGGTTCTCCCTATGTATCGTAGAATGCCTAGATATGGAGATGTCAAAAGCACAAATGGAAAAGTAGCAGCTGACATTCACGTTACGTGAGGGACTAGATTATGGCTCTCTCTGATAACAAAGACAATTTCACTTCCTTAACCTTCAGAGGCACTTCCAACGAGATCTTGGGAGGTCACTGTTAAACTGACATTTAACTGGGCAGCCCCATTAATACTGGGGCTCTAAGGAAAGAGCAAAGACTTGGTATCACCAGCAAGATGCACTGCAGCAACTCACCAAGATTACTTTAACATAATTTCCTCTCCTCTGTGATCTATACCACACAGGACAATAGCAATTAGATTGGGAGATCAACATTACCTCATTCAACAGCACGGTGGCTCAGTGGTTAGCATCGTTGCCTCACTGCGCCAGGGACCCAGGTTCGATTGTCTGTGTGGAGTTTGCACATTCTCCCTGTGTCTGCGTGGGTTTCCTCGGAGTGCTCCGGTTTCCTCCCACAGTCCAAAGATGTTCAGGTTAATAGCCCCATAGTGTCCAGGGATGTGTGGGTTAGCCATAGGAAATGCAGGTTTACAGGGATATGGTAGGGGGTGGATTTGGGTGGGATGATCTGCACAAGGTCAGTGTGAACTCGTTGAGCTGAATGGCCTATTTCCACAGTGTAGAGGTTCTCTGATTCTGGCATGGACATAGACCACCATTCTGTTATGACACCTATGGGAATGTGGAATTCTCCGTGCTGGGAGCAGTATCATATTAACTATCCAACCAACCTCATGTACCATCTTACCGAAAAGCTATATTCCAAATTCAGGCGTAAATAGGGAAGGAAAGTGTACCATTCAAAGGAGAGTGAAGATACAAATAGGGAGGTCTTGCTAAAACAATACAAGGCACTAGCTACCCAGACCACAGCTGGAATATTGTAAACAGTCTGGTCCACTTATCCAAGGAAATACAGAATAGCATTGGAGGTGGTCCAGAGAAGATTCAGTAAATTCATTTCAGGTACGGAGGGATTTTACAAGGAGACGTTGAGTAGGTTGGGCCTGTATTCATTGGAATTTAGAAGGATGAGAGGAGACCTTATTGAAACATAACAAGATTCTTACAGGCTTGACAAGGCAGATGCAAAGGGGCTGTTTCCCTTTGCGGGAAGCGAAGCCCAGAGGGAGTAAGCTCAATCATTTAAGTCAGAGACGAGGCTTTTTAAACTCAGAGGTTAGTGAACCTGTGGAATTCTTTACCAAGAGGACCGTCAAGACTGGCTTGTTAAGTATATTCATGGCTGAGACAGACAGATTTGTAATCAGTATGAGAATCAAGAGTTACAGGGTAAGGTAGGAAAGTGGAGCTCAGGATTATCAAATCAGCCACAATCTCATTGAACAGTGGAGCTGACTCAGGCTCTATTCTAATACCTTACAGTCTTACAGCCAGCCCAGTATTGGGATTGGAATTGGCTGCGAGGGTCACAAATAACGGCTTTGGTCTTCAGTATTTTGTTAGAGAAAAGTATGGCTCATCAAGACAGAAAGTTGGTAAGCACTCTAACAACACAAAAGTACCAGTGCAATGTTAGGGGAAAAAATAATTGAAGGAGATTCCCTGGCTAATTAAGAGGAGAATGAAGTAAGGCTAGTCCATGCAGCTAGATAATTGAGGAACACTGTTGGGGAAGAATAGTGAGGCCACTGCAAAGGCTGCAGACACTTTGAGAAAGATGAAGAGGTCACCATGGTACAACCATGTAATTTGTGACATTGCTTTTGCAGAAAGAAAAAAATCTGATGCACTTGTTCAAACATGGAGATACCTAGAAAGGTGGGCACAATTTTTTGAAGCAACAGCACACGCAAGCACTGGGAAAAAGGGGCCAGTTAGAGACAGCGTGCTAGTTTGTAAGACAGAAGGCTCCAGGCTGGATTTTCTGAAGGTGGGTGACAGTATTTGAGGAGAAAGGACTTGCTTATAATGGTGTTACTTAGCAGAACTCCTCCTGTATGATAGATTACAAATGGGGAACTGGTTGGTAACATTATTTTTCACATCAAACCTATATGCAAAAGGAAATAAGTAATTATCCTCTGTTTATTCAAAGTGAATCTCTAATTTAAAATGAATTGAGCTTTAGTACAGACACAAGTTTACTGACTAGGGTTCTGGAAAACAGGCCTTGCCTTTTATTCAGAGGCAAAATGATCAAAGGCCAAAGGAGAAGCTTATTTCATTGCGACCATAGAGATAAATGAGAATGTTCATTTCCTGGAAAGGAAATCACTTCAAAACATTGAGAAAATTCATCAGTTCTGTGTTCTCAAATAAAATATCATTGATGTTCAGTTTTGAAAATGACTGGTTTCTCTCTACCTCTGATTAGTAATACTGCATTTCATGATTTTGCATACATGATTTCATCAAACCACTCTTAGGGAAATGGCAGTTAAACAGTTATATAGCAGCTTGTCTGAATGAGGAACAGCAATAAATTAGCCTTACAATATCTATTTATTAGGGTAAGCCACCAGATAATGTACAAATTGGAAATTTCTACACACACACTGCAAAATAATAGATCATTTGTATTTTACCAGCTGCCACCAAAATGTGATTACTTATCCAGATCTCCCCACATACCTCATCCCACTCAGTGTTCAGGTAAGAGGAAGTGACACTACCATTACCACAACAAACATGAACCTCTAACATACTCCTGGAATCAATTGCAGAAACAATGTGGAAGCAATTTCTGTTCATTTATTGCAAAATCACTTGCAATTTTTCTATGAAATGCAGAGCATCACAGATAAAGCCAGTCAAGTTGAAGGCACATGACTTGCTCTGCAAAACAGACATTGACAATAATTGACAGAAATGAAGAAGAATAAAAAAACACATGATCTGCAGAACAATGAAACACACATGATCAGTGCACAGCATCTCTAAAGACCCAGGCAGAACCTTCCTTTCACTGAAGAGCAGCCTAGGGCTATATACACCAGCACAGACTAAATAGTTTGAATGGCCTGTTTTTGTGTTATATTCTACACTATTTTAAAGAATGAATCACAGATCTTCCCAAGATTAATTGAATGTCATGAAGCAGAATCTAAAAGACATGAAATTAAAAAGTTAATGGGAGAGATTTTAAAAAGTAGATAAGTGAAAGAGGGGAAAGAAAAAGCAGGAAGAGAGTATAAATTAGATAAATGAAGAACAGGGTATGCCATTCAGCTCTTCAACTCTGTTTCCTATTAAAGAAGATCATGGTTAATTGGCATTCTAACTCCACCTATTTGCCTTAGTCAAATATTAAAGTTATTGATTACAATTGCATCTGCTGCTTTGTGGGGGAGAGCTCTAGAAAGCTGTCGTGTGGCATGCAAAGACTGCTCAACTTCTGTTCTGTATGGTCAGGATCAGATTTTAAGTCTCTGTTCCTTTCTCCTAGACTTGCATAGCAGTGAGAAGGTTTCTCTCTACCTACCCTATTGACGCCTGTCAACATCCTAAAAGCTTCAAACATATCATCCCTTAACTTCTGATATTCCAGACAATATAAATTTAGTTCATAACATCTCCCTTCATAAATTTAACTCTTGGAATCTTGGTAACTTTCTGATGACTCTGTGCTGCATTCTTTCCAAGGTCAATATTTCCTTCCTAAGGTGTAATATACTGAACTCTGCACAATACTCCAGATGTTGTTTCACCAGAGCTTTGTGTAGCTACTGGAAAAATTTGTTTTGTTTTATATTCTAGTTCCCTTATTATATTTCTACTCCTTTCTTTTAATTAATTTGTGCTTAACTGCATTTTATTGATCAATGTAAATGTTATTGATCAGTCCAAAACTAAAGGGCATAGGTTTAACGTGAAGGGGAAGGATTTAAAAGGGACCTAAGGGGCAACTTTTCCACACAGAGGGTTGTGCATGTATGGAATGAGCCGCCAGAGGAAGTGGCGGAGGCTGGTACAATTATGACATTTAAAAGGCATCTGGATGGATATATGACTAGGAAGGGTTGAGAGGGATATGGGCTAAATGCTAGCAAATGGGACTAGATTAATTCAGGATATCCAGTCGGCATGGATGGGTTGGACCAAAGGGTCTGTTTCTGTGCTGCACAACTCTATGTACGTGAACAACTAAATCTCTTTTTACCATTTAAATAATACGCAAATCTATCTTTCTTCAGACAAAAAAGATGATACCCTCACATTTACATGCAATGGAATGCATCTGTTTTGCCCATTCACTTAATCTACCAATGCTTCTTTGTAATATTGTGCTGTTTACACTATTGACAATACCACTGATTACTGTGTCAAACTATAACGTTATTTAGGCTTGGAATAAAAATAAATATTCTGGTAAGTTGAGATCCCAGCACAGATCCTTCAAACTTCACTAATTACTTCTTTCTAATTTGAGTCCATACCCATTATCCCTAGTGGCTGTCTTTACACCTAAGCAACCTTTTTAATCAGGTTAATAATTTATGTTAAATCCATAAGCTTTAATTTTAACCAACAATTGCCAATGGAGAACATTATCAATGCCTTCTGGAAATCTACAAACTCCATCCATTGCTTTAGTTACTTAGAGTTGTACAGCACGAGAACAGGCCCTTTGGTCCAACTCATCCATGCAGACCAGATATCTTAAATTAATCTAGTTCCATTTGTAATTCCTCCATAAATTAATCAAACTCATTAAATTTCATCTACCCTTTACAAATCTATGTTCACACTTTTTAATCAATTCTAAATTTCTCTACATTGCTTCATCATTTTGTCCTTAATTACAGATTCCTGTGATTTCCCTGTAACAGATGTTGGACTAACAATTCTCTAATTTTCTGGTTTACGTCTTAACAGATTTCTTAATCGATGAAGTTACATTTTGAATGTTCTAACCTAAAATAGGAATTGCTGAATCATTGCAAGTCTATGGCTGAAACACTTACCATTTTCTCACTTATTTCTTTTGATATCATTGATAGAAACCATCGGGGGGATTTATTGGTCTTTCATGCCATTACTTTAACTAAAACTGTTTTTTGTTTTTATGTTATTATATTATCCCTGATTCATCATTCATTTAGGAAGACAGGCCTAGAAAAAGTAGGCCTTTTAGCTGCTACACCATTCACAGTTAATCTTGTTGTGGTCTCATCACCACCTCCCTGTCCATAACCTTTAACCTTTCATTCCTTTATCTATTTAGCTCAGCCTTGAATAAATTTAGTGACCCAGCCTTCACTGCCTTCTGTGAAATACAATTCCACGTACAAACCATCCTCAAAATATTTCCCCTGGTATTTCAGGTATACTATCCTCTTGTTCTACAGCAAACAATGGGGAAAATGTAATTACTTAACAAGTCTGCAATTTCTTAATTCCATTTACTCTATTATTCCCGATCCAAATTACCCTTGAATACTCTTTCTCTAAAATAATTGGAAAATTACTTCAGATGCTGATTTGGATATAATTCACAAATTTGGTTTCATATTCTTTTTTGCAGCATTTGCTTTTGGTTTTTTTTTGCTGTTTTCTCTCCCCAGTCTCTTGAATCTGTACTATTCTTTTGCATTTGTATGCTTTTCCTTCAGTTTTATATTATTTTAACTTTTTGTTGACCATTTTGTTTCATAAATAGAGCTTTCACTCCTTGGGGATCTAACACTGTTCTTACATTAAGTTAATCATTTTTGATAACCATTTCTGAGTTGTAGTTTTACTTGATAACTAATCTGATCACCTTGCTGCTGTCAGTGTCTGCTTTAACCTTTTGAAGTGAGCCTTCCAAAGATCTAGAACCTGAGTAACAATACCATGTTATGAGCCTGCTTTTCAAATCTAGTGTTAAATTTGATTATAATATGAATGTTATACAAGTGATCCTATTCTGTTAGATTATCAACTATTTCTGACTCATTCTTCATACTTAAACCTAATGTAGCATGCTCTCTTCCTGGTTCTGGGGCACTTTGGTCCAGAAGGTTAAACTAAACGTATTCAAGAAATTCACCAACTTTGTGATTTGAGCTACTCTACTCTTCTCAACTTATATGATGGACTGGGATGAACAAAGTCAGAAATCCTACGACACCAGGTTATAATCCAACAGGTTTGTTTGAAATCACACAAGCTTTTGGAGCCTCAGTTCTTCTGAAGGAGGCCCAAGGCTCCAAAAGCTTGTGTTTTCAAATAAACCTGTTCACTATAACCTGTTGTCGTGCGATTTCCAATTTATATGAAGAATCGAAATCTCCCATTTAATTTCTGTTTCAGCACCAAACATCTTTAATCTCTGAACCACGAGATCCTGTCATTTCATTACTGCCTGTCTGCAGAAACAGAAAAACTAATTTGAAAGCGACAATAGAAAAATGGAAACAAACTTGAATTCAAGCAAAAGTGTAAATGAAAGAATGAAAAAGACTGAGTGAAGTGTGAATAACAGAAAGGGATTGAGAGAGAGAGAGAGAGAGCACGATAGGAGTTGGCCATGTAACCTTTGAAGTCTATTCTGCTACTTAATAACGTTGTAACTGATCTGAGACCTGTCTCCAATACCCAGCTTACCCCTAAATCTTATTACCTTTGGTAACTGAAATCTATCAATCGCAGATTTAAATTCAACATCTGGCATTTACAAAGGAGAGTTCTAAATTTCTAATACCCTTTGTGTGTAGAAATACTTTCTAATTTCACTCCCGAAAGGTCTGACCTCATTTTTGCCTTTACTTCCCAAATAGTGGGAAGAATTACTTTCTATCCACGCCATCCATTCTCCTTAACATTTTGGAAATTTCAATCAAATCACTTTTCTAAATTCCAGGCAATACAATTTTAATTTGTGTAATCTATTCTTTAGAATGTAACCCATATAGTCCAGGTATCATTCTGGTAAACTTATGCTGCACTTGCTTCACAGCCAATATATCATTCCTAAGCTTTGGTGTCTAGAATTGCTCTTAATACACCTGGCATGGTGTAGTCAGGACTGAGCATGTATTCTCCATCCTTTATTCTTGTCTCTACGTTTAAAGGAAGCACTTCAGTAACACTTTTTGGTTGTCTTCCTATTCTGTTCATGCCATTTTAATGACAGGTCAAGAATGTGATAAACAAGAAAAAATAAGATATTATTTTAACACAAATATTGTTACAATTTCTCAAACTCTGTATTAATCATTCTACCCATGATAGTGAATGGTAATCTTCAATTCACAAACAAAAACACAAATTGCTGGAAAAACTCAGCAGGTCTGGCAGCATC